TGAAATCAAACAAATAATCTCCGAGTCTGAGCAAAAGAAACAGAAGCCGCCCAAATGATGAGTAGCGAGCGAGAAATATATATAAGTAGACCTTGGCCTGGTGAATCATGATAATGTCGTTTGAAAGTCGCACTTGATATACCCTCAAGGAAGTGGTTGTTTTCTTATATGATTTTTATGATATTTTTTCTAGCTAATGAACTCTTACAATGACAATGGAAGAGTGAAAGGCTTTAATTGGTTGTGATATTTATAGAATGGCCTACGCATGATGACTATCAAGTGCTGTGGGTTTTTATTAAAATTGACTTTATTACAGAAACTCTACTAAAGACAAGAGGCTCTTTTTCCACACCCACTAAAAATATTTAAAAAAAAACCTTTCAAACTTTAATAATATTTAAAAAGTTACTTTGTTTAATGTGTCCTTAAGTTGTTTGCATTTATAAAAATCCTGTAATACTTTATAATCTCCTGCACGCTCCCATTGAAAATGTAATCAAATGAATGGCGGAAAAAAGGCTCTCGTTCGTCACTGGCCCTACTTGCCTCTTGGCCATATTTTTCCCAGGCCATTTCAGTAGCCATGACAACGGGCAATAGCAATTGCAGAAGCAAAAGCAAAATCCAGTGAAGTTGATGCCAGTTTGGTGATGGTAAGGCCAGGGCAATGGCAATAGCAACTTGTAGTCATGTAGCCAGTGTAGCAACAACATCGCGGTATCTCAAACTGCGTATCAGTTGCTGCTGCTGCTGTCGCTGAATGTTGTTGCTGTCGCCGATGTTGCTGCTGTTGCCGATGTTGCTGATGTTGCTGTTGTTGCTACTGCTACTCACGCACACGTTTCACGCTTTTTGCTGTTGTCTTTATCGCGTCTGAGACCCCCCCTACCTGTCTCTGACACCCCACTCCTCGTTCCAGCCATTTTAGCTACCGGTTTTACGCGCCAAAGTCTCCATAACTTTTGCCACATGCCATTCAACGCACATTGTTCGTGTTGCTATGCTGCATGTTGCTGTTGCTGTTTCTGTTGGCCTTACTACTGCTGCTGTTGGTCAACTGCATTGTGCTTCTTCATATGGATGGATTTTCAATCATTTTAAGAGGCATATCGACTTGAGAGCTTATTGACAGTGGATACATATAAGTTTCAAATGCCTAATTAGTGATTTATGAATGGCATTGTCTGGGTATCTTATTGGTTAACTTTAGATGCTGTTTGTAGTATAGCTTGTAGGATTGTTTCCTTTGCAGGGTATTCTTGAAATCCAAACCTAATTTCCCCCTACTGAAGGCAAAGTTTTTTGTCCCCAATGGTGCATCTTTTCTCCGGGCCTGTCTCTGTCTCAGACTTCATGTCCGTCCTGTGACTTTGTCCGTTTATGTGACTCGCATGCGGCACTAGAACCGAGTTCCATGAATCGACTTTGGCATTTCATTGCTACTAGTACTCACTCTAATTCTCCTTCGTTTCATTTCATTTCATTTCTGTGCGGGTTATGTTTGGCACGATTGCTATGGAAACTGCAATGCCAAAGCGCATTATTTGATTATGCAGAGAGCACTTGCACTCCAAAAGAAGCAGTGGGTGGTTCTGGAAAGATAGCTACAGTCCTGTCTTTTTTTTCTGTGTTTGATCCTTGAACGTTTTCCTCCTGGCACTTGCATAACATTTTTAGCCGACTTTCCTGCTGACTGACCAAATGCATTTCCAAATGCACTTTCCACCGCCGAGAGCCCGGTTTTCCTCTTTTCGTCCAAAACCACTCAGTTTCATAAATCATTCATCCGCCAGTATTTTTCTGCCATTCGATAAGTGGCTCTCCATAGATGGGCTCTGCTTCAGCCACCACTCCCTTTAAATGCTAAACAGTGGGGACTGACTAGGAGTTAGACCTTTTACTAGTTAGACTTACTAGAGCAGAAATATACATATTTACAAAATAAGGACGAAAGAGCTTTCTTTCACCTTAATGCTCTTAGCTCCCCTACAAGTACCGTGTATTGATACCAAAAATCCTCTCTAACGAAGATCTTCTGTATTTAAACTCTCCTTTGGCAAGCAGATAGAATTCCGCCTTGGATAAATTATGTTAATTTAGTTCCAGTGGCCCCTCCTCGTTGGACTGGCTCTTTAATAACTTGACAAATGAAGAAAAGAAAAAGGCGAGCAGCGAACTCTCCTCGACGGACTTACGACTGCCAGGCATATAATTTCGCAAAAGCGCAACAAATTGTTAATTTTCCTTTGCTCTGCTTGCTTATGTATCGTTCTGTTTCTCTTAATTTGCATATTTTCTACGTTCTTTCTACACGTTCTTATAAATGAGAAGTAATTGTTAAGCGTGTCTACAAAATGGTAATAAATTCTAAACCAGTTGCCTTCGGCTCTGTTTCCATTCAGGGGTATATTTAAGATTTTAAAGACAGAATACTGTTAACAGATAGTCCTATCCATATAATAAATTTGTATTTATTGCTAAAATTCAAGATATATTATTCATGAATTTCAATTAAAATATCTCTTGGTATCTGGCTGCCAAAAAGCAAATGGCCGAAGTGGAATCCCTGCGGAACTGGACACTCACAGGTGGACAGGTGATTCATAGGCGCGCTACGACTCCTCACCATTCACTATCTTAAAAGGGGAAATCCATCAAATGAGCTGCCAACGTGTTGTGCAGTCAATACAAATTGTTAGCTTCCCCTTACACCCCCATCCAGGCCCCTTTCTGATCCTTCTGGTTATTTACTTTGCTGGAGGTGTTCGAGAGATGAGGGGTGTGTGGCATTTTCTAGGGGGTATATCTGTGAGCATTATTCAATGTTTGCAACGAACGTGCGCAAATTACAAATTCAATGCACGTAGCCGGCGGCCAAAGCTTCGGAGCCTCCAGCCTCGAGCGTTTCTGTCTCTGTGTCTGTTTACCCAAATCCCCATCATGTCCTTGTTGTTGGTGTTGGTGTTGGTGGTACCTCCATCATCAACGCCACCAAAGCTACAACGGACTCCGGTAGACATCCTCGAACTGACGACACATTAAAATAATGTATTTTTAAATTTAACATTAATTGTCGTTGAATGGTTACGGAATGGGCTGATGCACAGAGGTAAAAAAAGGAGCAGAAAAAAAATATTAAGGCTCTAAAATATATTCCTAATTATTTAATATACATTTTAATTTAAATAGCAAGCAATTATCTTTCTTGAAATATATAAAAATAAATAGTAATTGAAAGAATGCATTTTATTTATTATTTTTTTCAGTGCTTTACTGGCTGAGCCTGTTCCTCTCCATTAACAGTTACTTTCTTGGAGGAGCATCTCAAGGAGTGCCCCAAACCACGACGATTTTCGTTGTCTTGCAGTGCATTAAGTCATCATTTTATTTAAATTTTCCCATAAATCGCTTTTCCTTCGACTGAGATGTTAATGTTTTTTTTTCTGTCTTTTTTTATATAAAATGCCATGAAGGAAAAATATGCTTTTTATGGCTTTTGGCATTTTGAATGCATTAGCAGAGGACTGTGCGCCGAGGCCAGAGTGAAAAATTTTGATTTTATTTGTTAAGCAATTGAAAAATTTTGCATCGCTAAGCAATTACGTTGAGGGATGGTCGGGAAATTGCTATTCAAAGTAATTGAAATTTGAGAGTTGAGAGGAAAAATAATGGGGCTTTATGGGTTTTGTGGATACAGTCTCTCTCTAGTCTATTTATCACCCAAATCCCCCCATAGCTTAACCCTTCGATTGACTTATCTAACCTGGCCATCCACGGCCTGATATTTCCCAGGATGGTTGGCTAATTCCACAACTGATTACCACAATGCGGCCCAAAGCCAGTGTTAAGCCCGCCACCTAAGCTCTCGCCCCCAATTACGAGGTCGGGCATTAAGTGGACCCATCCAATGTCGGACTATAAGTGCCCATTTGCTCACCCTACCAATTGTCTATGACTTTCATTCGATTTGCCTAACAAGCCATAATCATGTGCTGCTGTATTTAATTACTGCCGTCTGTTCATATTGGAAATCCTCCTAATAGTATAGAAAGAGAGAGACACCCACAGGAGCTGGGCCGGCAAACACAATTGAGTCATTAAGCCGCAATCTAATTAAGCCCAAAAATGTGAAATGAGCCCAAAGAATGGGCCACTAACTTGGCTTACAGTCGGCGCGTTAAGCGAATTAGTTGTGGGCTTGTTCTTTGACTTGAGAATGGAAAGCTTCCGAAAAAAATCATCTCAAGTCTACAAATTTTTACGGCACTTTAACGTGAACGTGGTTTACATTTTTTTTTGTTTTTTCGGCCGTCAAGATTTATTTTGTGTCTGCCAGCGACCACGTAGGTCATTAAATTGTTTAGAAATCGCGGACAGTCCGCTTCTCCCTCCTCGTCTATTAAATGCCACCGAAAGTATCTCAGTGTCTGGGTATCCAGACCCAAATAAGCGAACCAAACCCAACCCAAGCCCCCATTCTCAAATGAACCACAAAATGACTGTGAAACGGCCGCTACACGCATTTATATACAGTGGATGAAAGAGGTATTAGAAATAGGGGTTTCTAGAAGAATTATTAAAGTCTACACATTTTTTAATATTTTCTCTTAAGAAGGGGAGATAAATATGTAAACTTTTCGGGAAGTTCTATATCTTCTTTAAAGGCTCATTTTTCCAACATCATACCCACTGTTCTATCTTTAATTTTTTGTTGGTTTTTCTTAAGTTTCCGTGGCTTTTTTTGGGGCTGCCTGATAGAAACCGGGTCCCAGCCACGAGAAATAGATACAGTTAATGCCACAAATGACGTCTAATGACGGTTACGATGAAATTGCTCAGACCACAAAGATGGTTGGGTATGGGTTGGGGTTCTTTTTTGGGTAGAATGTGTGGATAGTAATTGATGTGGAGATCCGCAGAGATTAATGCTTCAGGAATTCAAGGTCGTCTGGATGCTTAATCGATAATATTCCCGGATGGATTCGTGTATGACTTACCTTCAACTTTAGCCAGGGCGAGCACGGAGATGGTCTGAAGGGCTGGCACCGCCCACGCAACCAGGTGGAATAAGTGCGACTTGTTCTCAATCGCCTCGTGGCCCCATTTGAGGCCAGCGGCCAGGAACCAGGCGAACGCCAGACACGACCACCAGGCGAAGGCCGCCATGCAGCAGAAGTACAGGGCCATGAATAAAACCGTGCAGGATGTGGTTTGGCGGTGGCCCTGCGGGATGAAAAGAATAAATCGGTCAGAAAAGGATTAAAGTTACTGAGACTCTTTAATTGATTTAATTATAATTGAAAGTAAATAATAAAGAAAACTTAAAATTTAACTAAATGCTATCATGTTCTTGAAAATCTTGGTAGCTACTTTAATATTCGGTCTGAAAAGTCTCATTAAAATGACTAAAAATGTGATTCTGTTTGCATTCTCACCTGTGTGATGGTGGACATCATCTGCAGTCGGCCGAGCTTGACGGGCGGCGGAAATGGCTCTCGGCACGAGACGGAGTCGCCCGCCCCCAGGCCGGCCACATAGGCACAGCCCACGACCAGATAGCAGACCGCCAGGAACACGATGGCCCGCTCCGGGTACCGAAAACGCGACGAGTCAATCAGGAACGTGAGCACCTGCAAGAGAGGAGAAGGAGAGTGGGTATTAAAAATAAATTTAGATTTAATTAGGTTTGCCTTAATTAACCCGCCATTCTTTGATGTTCCCTTAAAAATGCATTAGTGTTTATATATGAGAGTGGCGAAACATTAGGGGTCCTCCGCAGATGACTGCCCCTCTGACTGGGCCTGCTGGTCATTAGGCTCTACACATTAGCTGATGGCGATTGTTGTGCCATTTACTCCAAAAGACGAGGCCCATTTAATTCGCAAGGTTTCTGTTTCTTGGCCTGGTTGACCCTAATGAATATGGCCAAAATGTCCTTAGCTGGAATGGCATTTTCAGAGAAATCTGAGAAGTAAACCAAAGGTGGCCTAATGGGAGTTTCTCACAGATGGCAGATACTTTATTTTATAATGAAAATGAGCCCTATTTATTGCTCATACGCAGTGTGGTCTCTGGGAAAATATGTTAATTGAAATATTGAGGCTTCCTACTCAATCAATAATATTCTAAATAGCCTAATTGAGACGTTGCATATATTAACTCGACTTATCAGCCATTGCCAGTTGGTCTGGCTAACCGAAAACTAATCAAATATGGTTTTGGTCAGAGAATGCACTGAGAAAGACATTGGAGAGCCAGAAGAGAATCCGATATATTGCCAAGATAATGGCTTACAATTCCTCAAAGCTTTAAAAGCAATTACATATCCAGACAAACACACACACACTCTGGCCATTTTCTCAGCTTTCCGAACCGCAAACTCACACATTAGACTTCCTTCGTCCTTCGCAGAGTGTATCCTTGCTGCCCAATTTCTCTGCTGCCTGTCTGATTACGCGCCATTTAAATAAATTCATTATCATTCCACTAAGCCAGACCAAGGAGTCTTTTGTCTAAACCGAACCAGAGAATCCGAACCAGAAACCCCGAACCGACCGAAACCCAAGCCAAGTCATTTAATTTGATCATTACAAAACTAACAGAGGGAAACAGTTGACTGGAAGTGGAGAGTGTGTGTGGGTGTATGGGTGTTTGGGTGTGGGTGTGCATGTGTGTATCTGTGTGCCAGTTGTGTGTTTGTGTTTGAGTTGTTCGCATTGCATTAATGTGGTGGGTATTATTGTTGCCACGACGAGACCTCTGAATTATTCATACATGCAGAACGCACTTCTCGACTGAAAGTCGTGGCTATCATCCATCTCCCACACTAGCTCTATGGCTCTACACTGAAAATTATTTCCAAAAGCCTTAAAAAAGAACTAATCTGAGATAATCCCAGTTTTCAAGATTTTCTTTCCATGTACTTGCAAGTCTGTACAAAAAATTAATTCACTTGGAAATCGTTTCACTTTGGGTTCTCCCCTTACTCGAATGGGTCTTTTCGAAATTATAGTTCTCTTAGCCATGGCTTGCATCTAATTTCCACCTACGCATCCGTACCCCTTCTGCTGCTACCATCCTCATTAAAATGCAAAATATATTCCGTAAGTGGCAGGGGCATGGGCAGGGGGTCTGTGAGCCAGTTTGTAACTCCTTTTGTTGACAACGCTCCGCTGCAGAAGAAACAAGCTGAGAAATTGAATTGAATTGTTTATTTATGCCAAAGACAACAACAGAACTAGAGGATGTAGCTAGCAGTGCCACGCCCCCACCGCCTCGTTCTCTTCCTCTAACAATTTGTTGTGGCACGCATGGATGGGTGGTTGCTGTAGGTGTGACTAGCTACAAATGAAACAAAATAAGCTGCAAATGCTGAAACATTTGGCTGGCACGCCCCCCTTCGAAAAATTATGCGCCACCGAGAGCGGAAGTTGCCCCAAAACTTGGCGTCTCGGGGGCCACACCCACATGAAATTTAGAGGAAAATTCGCAATGGAGATGCGCTAAGTTTGAGTGGCACTTGTGTCAGAAAATGTAGAAGAGCTTGCCAAGCATTGGATATATGTTACGGCTTCTACTGGGAAATCATTCCATGAAAATAAATAGAATCTGTCAGATCATGAAAGCTTTAACAACCTCCATAAAATAAATTTTATTTTAAAGTTTAAACATAAAATCAAAGACCATGCACTTCAATTAATTAAAATACAGAAAACGACACCTTCACCTAAAGACCTCGGCTAAGTTTTCGACCTCAAAACTTTTCTCGACTAGTTTTTCCCCCATTTCCAAAGCCAAACATCTTCGCCAAGCAACTTGGAATAAATTACTTCACTCGAGCCGCGCCTTCATGCCAATGAAAAAAATGGGTAATTTCAATTTTTAGCGCTCATAAATTCTGTAGAGTTCGGGTCATTAAAATCAGCCCAAAAACTAAAGTGGTTACACCCACCCAGTGTCCCCCGACTCGACTCCGGGAGTGTTGAAAACTGAAAGCCACAGAAAAGCTTTGAGAGCTTTGCCAGCGGTTGGCAGTTTTTGAATTTTGCATAAATTAGATTTAACTCACAACTAACACAAAAATGGTATAAATTTGCATAAGAAAACAACAACAATGGTCTGGTCTTTTTTGTTTGTTTTTTTTTTTTAGGTTTTTTTTTGGAAGGTGGATCGTCTATTAGAATAACTAACTATTAACATAAACATTTTAGTCAGGCTGGACAGAGATTGCGGCATAAATTTTGTGGCGAATGTTTGCGGTGAAGCCTCGTATTTGCTGTTTCTGACATTTGATGTTTATGGAACATTTTTTATGCATATCAATGATTAAATATTTTGTGCATATTTAAAACTATTAATAACTTTGCGGGGCGCCCCACTAAAGCCAACTGTCAAAACAAGAAAACCGACAAAAAAGTTTTTCGGTCGGGAAATGGTAGAAAAAAAAGTTCAAATGGGTTATGCATAATTCGGATGTGTTTTTTATTTTTTTGGGGCTAGTGCAGTGCAGTCAGCATGAGCTGACACATTTGCTCATATCATCTTCAGACCCAACTATCAAAATATGCGCCTCAGTGAACTTTCAGTTTCTGCCTCAGGGCCAGGGAGTGCCTCACCATCCTCCTTTTCCAATTTTTCCTATTTTTGTTTGAGTTTGTGTACTGCTGCAGGTTTTGTAATTAAGAAAAAGTCATCAAAGTCAACGACTACACCCGAAACATCCTCTACGATTATTTGCTCTTTCAGCAAACACACATACTATACACGCAATGTCATTTCCCCTTTTCGCTTTTCATTGGAAAACAAATGTCAAGTCACAGAGGGAAAGTGGGATAGGGGCGGTGGAAAAGTCACTCATTGTCTCATCGCATCTAATGCGTTTAATGAAAAAGGTGTTGATTGTTGACAGTTGATGTGGCACACACACTCGCCCAGCCACCCAACCACCCAACCACCCACAGTTTCCTCTCGTGTAGCCATAAGTTTCCTTTTGACAATTCCACCTGTCGCGCAGGAAAACTTTTCGTGGGTACGAATAATATTTGTTTTAGTTCGCGAAAATTGAAATAAAATGTGTTTGTTTATAATTTTGCCTGATACTTGAAATGAAAAGCCCTAAAGGTTACTCCCCAGGTCTCCCCAGGTCACCTGTAAGCTGAGCAAAACTTGCGCTGTCATAGAAAATTGGCTGGGGGAAAAGTTGGGATTACTTTTCCTCAGTAACTTTACCTCGACTGGAAGTTTACATTCTGGCACCTCCAGCAATGAAAAGAATTCAGAATGAGAAATTGTCACAAATTGTTTTTCAAATTCCCAAAAACATTCTATATATTAAGAAAGTCTTGTTTATCAATTTCGTTCAAATGTTAAATTATTCTTGTGGCCATTTTCATCATTGCCTTTAAAATATTTTGGCTTTCATACTCTCGTCATTCCATTCAATTAGCCGAGCACTTTATTTATTGAAAAGCAAATTCCCTTGAATGTCACTAAAAAATCCATATACATATAGCCATAGATGTGAAGCCGTTCAAGCATAAAGCCAAACATTTGCCAGTTTGCCAGTCTATGTTGCAAATATTTTCAGAGAGAGGTATTGTGCGAACGTATTTATTTTCCAGCCCATCCAGGCCAAAAGTATCAACTGCAATTTTCTAATGCTCTCGTGTGTCACAATTTTTTCCATCATCCGTTTGTCATTCTCAATGACACATTTCTATGGCATTGCAATTTTTTATCACCCACACACATATGCCATATGGGCTGAAAGAGAAAGTTTATTAAAATAAACAACCACACAGGCAAACACAGTCCACATTTCATGGCGAATTTATTGAGAGCACTGTATCGAGCACTATTCACATCCATATATAAACAGAGCCAAATGGCAGTGGAGGAGAAAGGACTATAAAAGCCATTCACATATTAAATGTGTGCGAACTGAAAGGATACTATCAAGCCTTTGTTAGTTGACATATTAAAGTAGTGGAGGAACTAAACTAAAAGGTAATTATTAAATGCTTTTAGTTTTTTAATTTTTTAGGAAAAAACATGCCACTGAAAATGAAAATGAGATTGAAAACCCTCACAGAACATAATCATAATCGTAAAAAGTAAGTAGAATGTGCTACCAAATAAAAGTCCTTGACTTGAAAAAACAAATTCCGAAATTTGCATAGAATTTGTTGGTGCACTGATATGCCACGCCCCGCATCAGGCGCTGTAGTATCTGCCACTGACAATGGGCGACAAATTATATGCAATGACAAAAATTTATCACAATGACACACACATGGAGCAAACGACACTGAAACAGCATGCAAAACATGAAGTCCTGCGAGTGAAAATTTTCCCTGAGGCTGTCTGCCACCTCAGATCCTGGCCGTCCCTCCAAACAAAAAAAAAACTACCCCTCTCCCTCATAAGTTGATGGATGTAGCACAACTTTATGACGTGTGTGTTTGTGTCAGTCAGGACCTATCCAGCTTTGATAGATGTGCTTTTTCGGGTCCTCGTCCTCGTCCTTTATTTTCCACCCGTTTGATTGCTTGGGAATTATAAGCACAGGATATGGTTCAGGCACCGCATTCCTTTATGCCCCACTCCCCCCCCTTGTTTTCCCTGTTGATTAGAGCCTGTCATAAGCTCGGTCCACGGCGGCCCCATAAATTGATTTTTTATTCAAATTTTTTCCCGTCATTTCATCCACGAGCCAAACAAAAAAACCAACAGATACAAAATGCCACGATGGTGGGATGGCTCGACTAACAAGTTGATTTCCATATTCGAAAGTAAAGGAATGAGGACCTCTCGCATGATGAATAGTTCCGGGGAGATGAGATAATTAGACAGCCAATTGATTGATTTATGGTTATGGGTAGCGATAGGGTGGAGATACTGGTAATATATGCAAGTCTTTAATAGTCTCTATCTTCGAGTGGGAGGGCCTATCCTAATATCCTTTTCTTTAAGGATTTCCTTACAACCTTAAGCTTCTCAAATACCCCACATCTTCAATTTGATTTGCCCCACAAACAGAAATGCAAGGATTACAATGCGAAAACTATTTCCAATATTAGTTCAAAGCTCATCCATCCTGAAGGCATTCGAGTATTGTCGGATTGCAGAGGAAGGAGCAGGAGTGCGGATGGCATTGCCAGGACATTCCGAAATATCAAAGGGCAATTCTAATAATATTTGAAATTTACTTTTGTTCTGCCATTTGTCCTCCCACAGTCGCCACATTCGCACATGCCACATGCCAAGGCGAACAGTAAAGGAGTCCTTGGCTGCCTTGCCAAAGGTACACATATCCTGCTTGCCAAGAGCGCCTTGGGTCCTTGGTGAGTGTGTGAGCTGGCTTCTGCATATGTTTTGCCAAGTTTATTGAAAAATATGCGCTGACAGGTAATATGTCAATGCGTGGGATTTGCTGAAGTGCCAACGCCTTCGTCCTGGCTTCCCTTTTCTCCCCTGAATAATAGACCGGCAGGAGGAGCAGGATTCGCTCGTTGCTAACCGTGAAAGGTGTTTACCTTAGAGCTCTGATAAAAATATGGAAGCACTCAGCCATTCAAGGATATTCAAAACCTTGGGCAGTAAAGAGTCTGGATATTAGTTGATATTTTTCTTAAATTTAAAGAACTAAGGAACTAATACTAAGCCCAATATAAATAATTAATTAAAATTAGACACTTACCGTAAACAGGCAACTGGCTACGCAGACTGCCGCCCAGGATCCGACCCAGTAGCGCAGCACGGTCCGCTCCCTCTCCGGGAAGAACATGGCATGGCAGGGAGCACCGCAGTCATGGAGATCCTGAAAATAAGATACAAAGGACATTGTCAGTAGGGCAAGGAGTGGAGCAAGGAGGCTAAAAAGAGAAGCCTACAAAGGAGGAAATTCATTTGCAGGCGACGATTAATTAATAAGGCTTAAATTTAATGTGTGCCAAATTGGATTGAGAATTGTAATTAAAGGGGATTACGGAAAGGAGCTTATGGGCGAACGCCTACAAATTAATGGAGGAGGATATGAGTTATAAGCTCAAGGGATAAGGGACTGATAAATCGGAGAGTATTGTGTACATTATCGATTTCAATCAAGACACATTTTAAAAGAAAAACTGATTATTCGAATGCGCTGTTTTGATTGAAGATTGGAGGTTGGTCCTTTATCCAATCCTTTCAAAATCCCAACACGACAACCCACTCTCACAAAATCCCATTAGAGATAGGTAGTAACTCGCATGGCAGCTTCAAATTAGCATAAATTTCAGAGCACAGCTCTGCCTCGGGGGCGACAAATACTCAGAGTTCACATCAGGGACCAAGTACAACCCCCATTAAACGAAAATCTCTTCGTCCTGGCAAGTGTGTCTCTGCTCCGGAGTCCAAACCCGAACAATAACTGCAGTTTAATGAGATTTTCCCGGCAGGGACATCTAAACTCAATACATGAAACCGAAAACCCAGCTCAACCTTGAACTCCAGAACTCTAGAACGCGGGGGCGAAATCCACCCCAGGCGGCAACAATTGCATTACGAAGTGTGGCAACAATGCAAACGCACTTGAAACAACTACAGTGGAACCTTAATAAGTCGTCTCACTTTTCAATCAGACTTTAAGATGAGTTCATGGGCTAAGCAAGTCCCACTGTGAAACAACTTCTGACAGTTTGAGGCAATTGCAGAGTTGTTTCCTAACCGGGGGGTATGGATACAAAGGGAGTTCCGAGTTCTGGCGCATTGTTAACCACAAGAGATTTGAATTTTAGATACCAAAAACACGCACGCACTCAAAAGGAGTCCATGGAAGGCGGGAAAAGACAAAGGAAGGGGTCGCCAGAAAAAAATCGCCACAGAGACTCTGAGACTCTCTAGAAGTGAGCTCGAACTTGGCCATAAAGAAGAGCTCTGGACTTTACTTCGAAACTTGGGAAAATAAAAAACTGGAATTACAATTTTTAAAGAAAGCTTAATCTTTGTATTTTATAAATATGTTTTCAGTTCTAATGAGAGCCATTTTCTTAATAGGATATAGATAGGATAACAGACGTTACCCTTAGAAAAAGTATACAGAAGTTTCTCCAAATTTTGTATACAAAATTTTTTAGATGCAATTAGCATCATATTATAAATTTTATATATTTTATTTTTTCTATGTAATATTTTTCCATGTGCAGACTCATCAGACCATAGAATAGAATGTAGATCCGGAGGCCAGGTCCCCTCAGCAATCGTCAGTTTCTCTGTCAAAGAGCAAACTCGCCCCGAAAGTGTTGTCTGGCTGTTCCCCTGGCCAACCTCCGACTTGTCTCTGTCTGGGCCCATTAAAAATTTAAAATCCTCCCCCCCGTGGTAGACATCCTTGCCAGCTCTCTTACTCTCGACGTTTTTGGCAATCATCGTTAAGTTAGCGGCGCAAATTGCGTTTTTCTGCTGCTTCTGGGGAGGATATTTTTGGGGGAAGACCGATTCCTTTCGATAAGAAATTTCAGTTGGAACGGGAAGACACGCTCCAAACTGTTGACTGGGGCAATATTTACGGATATTTGGGGCACATAAAGAAACAGATCCGCAACCATAACATAAAGCAGCGCCAGGAAACTGGTCCAAATTGCCGGCCAAAAACCGAAATTATTCCTCAAGCTTAAGCCAGCTTTAAGCCAAGTCAGCGATGAAAATTTAAATTTAAATTTTAATGAACTAATGTTGAGGGATTCCGAATGATGAGGGTAATTCCAGGGGCTTTGGCGGGCTAAGGCGGTAAATGGAGTTGAATTAAACAATTTCGGTGGCCACTGTGATTGAGTTTTATGAAGTCATCAAAAAGTTATTTTCGAGAGGGACTCAAAAATATATAAAAATACACAGTTTTTGGCTTAAAGTTTTGCTGCAAAACTTTACCAACTAAAGTTGTTTTGTGGCACAATACCAAAGCTAATTAAATTGTTTGTCCAATCGCACCATCGCCGCGCATCATCAAAATATTTATCAGCCTCGTTCCACTTAATATTTTATCTCCTTGGTGGATCGGCAATCACATCCTGTATACGATCCATCGATCTATCTTTATTACCAAACCAAATCAAACAGACGGTCTATTCTATGGGTAATTGTAACCCCAACTCCTCTTGGAGGAACAACAACTAGTTGCAACATTGGCCAGTGGCCACAAAAGACTGCACTGCACTGTAGTTGGATTCTCTGTCCCTTTACTGGTTTTTATTTTTTTTTTGTTGTTCAGTCTGGGTCCCCACAGTCTGGGGCACCATTGTCTTGCGATTTTTATGAGGCATGTATAAATAATTGCGCCCAAAGGCCGCCGACATAAGTTTTCATGCCGGCCGCGTGAGCATCCGACCATCAGCAGCAGCTAAAAGCCAAACTTGGACAGGCGTCTAAACTGCCCGGCCAGAGTTAGTGGTCCACCTTAGCCCAAGCCACTATTTAATTCTTACACAGTACAAAAAAAGAGGTAAATAAATGTTTTTAGAAATTGGAAGGCTAGTTACCTATCTTGGAAGTTACATATTTTTCTTACAGTGCCCTTACAAAGTGGCAACAACAATATAGAAAATTTTGTTTCAGTTTTTCTATATATATATTTTTTTTGTATTCTTACTGCTGGCCAAACAAAAAATGGGCGGGAAAAAAGGGATATGACGTGGAATATAAAAGGAACAAAGGGGCCAAAGGAGGACCAGAGCCATAAACCAAGTTTTGCCAACATTTAAGGAGTTTTTAATTTATTATAGATAAATTTTATGCCCGTCGCGAGTTATGAAAGGCCAAAGGGTATGAAAGGGAGGATTGGCCTGCAGACTGGAGCCAGTGGTAGATGGTAGAGGGAACTCTTCCAGCTGGACCACCGAATCACGTTTGAGTTGGGGGCGTGTTGATGATGATGGTGGAAGCTGCAAATTATTACGACTCCCAGAGATGAGACAACAGAAACACAGGGCACGTCATTCACAAAGGAACAGTGGGTTCAAAGTCAATGGAAATTTAGGGAATACCATTCTGAGGGAAGAATTATTAGAACCACTGTATGGTCTGGGCCATATAGTTGCAGACAACCCTCGGACAGCGTTAATGATGATTCTCTCTATACAGACGGTATCTATATGTATATATGCCTGTCGGGGGGTGTTGCTGACGTTGTTAAAGTCAAAATAGACAGGGCCACAGACAGTAGACGGTGGAAGGCGGCTGGAAAAGAGAGCAAACAGCCAAACAAACGAGACGGATATAGGCGGACGAGTGTCCTGGGGGTGGATTCGAACAGCAGGATATAGGCAGGACGACCAGAGTCCCCAAGGACCTGGCTGTCAACTCAACGGTTGTTCTCCTTCGGGCGGGACAGAAAAACAAAAAAACCCAACTGGCGGGCAGTCGGACAGAAAAACAACAATTTGAATTCAATAAGGATGTGAGAAGGAGAGATGTAGTGGGACAAGCAAATTTCCACTCGGGTCAAGAGTTCAAATGCTTGGAAATACCCGGAATAATAATCATAAAAAGGAGTCAAAAGAGTCAAAGACACCAAGTTCCCCAAAAGTCACACAATTTCTTTGCTGACCAAAACACAAAAGAAGCCGCCGGAAAATAAATAAAAAAAAAAAAAAGAATTCCTGCTCATAATTTATTAATATTATTGGTTGGGGGTCAAGCCTCATGCCCCCAATATAAGCCCCCCTATTCCCCCTCACAAATTACACATGTCGACACTTTATTAAAAGCCAAAAGAAAAAAGGGGGAAAAAAGGGATTTAAGGACTTTGATTCGATATTGGAGGATTTTTGAAGCTCCTCTCATCCCGGTCGGTCTGAATAATTTTTTTCCTTTGGTATTTTTGGTTGGGTTGCGGTCTGCCCGACAAAAAAATGAAACCGATCCGGAGGCTATAAAATGTCGACCCGTCCATATGTTGGTCGTGTTATGGTAAGGGAAACAGTTGGGGTTTTTAGGGACCGCAGGCCCAACAACTTTTGGCGCGATTTCCTCTTTTTGGGTTAACGCCCCTCTTTGTTGTTGGGCGCTTAACCCTTTCAGGGCCAACCAGAAATGCCTCCAAAAGGAGACCATCAAGGAGACAAACAAAAATTGCTGTTAAGGCCTACACTTGGCTGCATGCAAATTATGCCGAAAGCGATGCCACAAAAGGGAAACGGCCAAGTGGAAGGTGTGTCAGCGGTGGGTTAAATGGCATTGGCATCTTCCTTTTGGCCCCTCTGGCTAAGCAACCCCACCCTCCCCGGACTCGCCTCCCCTGATTACAGGCCCATGTAATTTTAATGGATATTTTATAATGAGCATCTGTTTGAAATTTTTGCGTACTTTTCCTTCCATTCCCTTTGAAAAGGTGACGCGGCACAAGGTTTAGGTCCCGGGGACATGTGAATTGTTGTCGGGTCATTTCAGGTCCAAGAGTTGGGCCCAGTCACGTAAAACCGAACAAAACGACATCACATGCAAGGTGTTAAGCTGGGCGAATTTTTCATGATGCGTCCCTCATATGAATATAATATTTATAAAGGACCACAGGTGGTAGCCTCTGTCTGACCCGTTCCTTCAGAGGAAGCCTACGTAATTGGCCATTGACTAAAAAAAAAGGGGTTGCGGCAGTGAGTGGCCGCCATAATTTTCGTAATAATTACATGAAATATTCATAATTTTGTCGCGCTCCGATTCAAGGGTACTCATTAGGGTGAACTCTTCAAAATGGAATATAAGCTTCTATAGCTCTTTAAAATAATTAGCAAGAATTTAAAGGTGGCAGTTCATGTTATAACTTATAAGATAAGTTCGGA